AGAGGAATTTGCACCAGGTACGGTCCCTTTATGTTTTTATTACATAAATATAACCCTCTAAAAAATATTAGCATATTAACATAATCTATTGATTTTATTTGCACAAATACCACATTATAGATTAAATCTGGGGAAATTTTCTTTATGCGTAATTAAAGGTAAAAATTTTATCACATTCAAAATAACTCTCCTCTCTCTCTTCTTCTTCTACAAGTTTATACGACCAGAGTTTTTTTTTTCTTTTTTTTTTCTTTTTTCTGTTTGCGGCTCCTCGACAACTTGCTACCGGAGAGAATCGAGCATGCTGATTCGCGATTTCTCTAAGTCTTTATCACCGACGACTTCTCGAGCGTGATGATGGTACACGAGCGACGATTTTCCGATGATGGGGGTAGATTCTCGATGGTGGAATCCATCTCCTTCTCCCCGTCGCACAATTCTCAGCCGACCGAGGCGATGCCACCGAGATACGCCCGTCGCCGTCGAGGAGGGGAAGAACCGATGCCATGGAGTGAGCCTGCGGATGCAGAGACAAGGGCCATGGCTACAGTTTCGGCTCCTAATTTGGGTTCTGAAATGAGAGACAATTGAACAGTACCGATAGTATATTATATGTATATGTGTGTCTTGATCTGTTAGTGCTTGAATTCCGAGAATCTCGAGGGTATATCTTATGTATATTTTATGTATATGTGAGTTCTTAAATCGATTTTGAGAAACAATTGAAACTCTAGTGTATATTTAAAGTATATTTAAATTATATTTGGTGTATATTGTCTATACATAAACTGCTCGTCTTTTTCCCAAATGACTTCCTCCCCCTCCATGAATCCTGATACTTGCCCCTCCTCTTCCACCCGACAGGCGAAATTCCAAAACCTTCCCCCTTATACCCGCCATTAACATCCATCTAATTTATCAAACATCATCCTCCCCAAAATTCTCACAAAAAATCATAAGAAAAACCTAAATTTACAGGAAAAAAGAATAATTATATTTTGGGAGCGATTTCAATCTCCACCGGCCACCGCTGCAACATTGTTGGAAGGCCTAAAATCTCTAACAATCTTCGAGGAGAGAGAGAGATGGTTAGTTTATACATTACCAAATATAACAATTTTTTTTTTTCTTTTTCATTAATCACTTCCGGTTTTTAAGGCACGTTTCTCATTTGGAGACAAATTTTATGTAATAGTATAATTATTTTGGAAGAGTTGGGTATTGATACAAATTATCTGTTGCCAACCATAAAATTGCAATTATTTATAAAACGTATAGGATGTATGTAAATTACCCTAAAAAATACAGTCTTTTGATTTGATTATTAATATTGGGCCCAACATAAAAAATAAAAGACCCACAATAAATGGAAACAACATTTTATATTGGGTTTAATATTATCATCAATCATTATCGGGTCAATCAGATTGGGCTTCAAAATTTTGTGATTTAAAATTTATATAAATTTGCATAGATTTTCTCTAATTTTTCATTTTCAGAAAAATATAATATTTCATCATTCTACAGTTATGCGTGATGCTCGGTATAAACGTCAAAATACCCGTGATATGGTGCAGACTTCACAAAGGAAACCATTATCTCATATCACAAATGGTAAAAAAATTCCCATTTGTTTTACATAATCAATTTTGGTTATTACTTATTTTACACAATCAATTTTGTTAAAAATTAAATTAATTATTTTTATTTTTTGTATTTATTTTATTGTAGCTTTTGAAACTATCGGGTCATCTACGTCGGCGAAAAATATTTATTCTAGCATTTGGTGTAAGGGTTTTTTTTTAATGTCATCTATAAGTACTATATATAAATAACAATTTTATTTCAGTTATAACTATTTTATTTTTTGTTTCATTTCAACTTGCAGACACTATACAATCATCCTATGCCCCGAAATCAAATTTAACTGCTGAACATAACACCAGCTTTTTTTGCAAAAACGAGTTTTGATTCATAGGATAAATATCACTCCATCTGATACTAGGATTCCATTTAAGTTCCAGCGGCGGCAGTTCCCACTTAGGGTTTCGTATGCCATGACCATAAACAAGTGTCAGGGACATTCTTTATTGCACGTTGGTCTTTTCCTTAAGAAACCTGTTTTTAGTCACGGACCATTATATATTACTGTTTCACGTGTAACTAATAGAAGGGGGTTAAAGATATTAGTTTGTGATAATAAGGAGTTATCAAATAATCAAACTCATAATGTTGGGTACAAGGATGTTTTTAATAATATATGATTGTTTCGTCACGAACATTTTATGATTCAATAATGTTTCTATGTATTATAATGATTTCGATCCTAATGCATGTCAAATTATACTATTCTCCAAATTTATGCAGTCCTTGCAATCGCACGGGTTATGCACTAGTATTAAATAATAATTATAAATTAAATATTTGGAGTTAAGATATGATATAAATGACGTATATCAGTTATAAATAATATAAAATTATCTTGTACAAAGGAACACAAAATATGTATATTTAAACTTTACAATATTAAAAATACCTAAAATAAGATATAACCAAGGTTATCAAAACCGGACCGGTCATCGAACCGGTCAAGCTACTGGTTCAATGGTTCACTGGTCCGACCAGTGGTTGAACCAGTTGGACCGTTATTTAATTTATTAATATTTTTAAATATATATAATGTTTCATAAATATAATTAACTTAATTTATTGATATTTTAAATATATAATACTTTATAAATATTAAATATAGTTGACTCATTTTTTAAAAGTTTGGTCCCACCATATATAGATTAAGCAATAAAATGATAATACAAAAATATGAAAAAAAAAAGAAATATTTCCTCACACTTCCACATTGGCCAATAAAATAATAGAAAATAAAGATGGGATATAGAAAAAGAAATTCCTTCCACGCGTGGCTTTAGTCTTTTACCTTTACAATTGGAAATTTCGAATTCTTACATCTTGTCTCACATCTGTAACCATGAAAGGTTAGTTGCTTTATAAAAGTGTTAGAATTTATACATAAAAATTATTTGACCGGATTTGTAAAAAAAAAAAAAAAAAAAAAAAAAAAAAAAAAAAAAAAAAAAAAAAAAAAAACACCGGTTGAACCAACCGGTTTTTTGGCCGGTTCGACCAGCCATTGACCGGTTTTGGCCACAGCCGGTTTCTTCCATAGAACCGGACCGGTGAACTGGCCGGTTTCCGGTTCAACTGGCCGGTCCGGTCCGGTTTTGACAACTATGGATATAACATACATAAAGATATATAAAATATTCTACATTATTCTTGAAAAATGTGAAGTCACCTCAACTTCTAGTAAACTATTTTACAAAGACAAAATGTCTAATTAATAGCACCTAAAGATATAGATGCTTAATGTATAGAATGTGTAAAATAAGTATCTAAAAATATTATGGGAGTTAATATAGGATTTGTAAAAAAAAAAGTATCTAAAATAGTATGTGAATGAATAATAAGTTATTACACTAAAATATGTCACAACTTTATGAGAGAAGATTTATATAATAGATATAAAAACATTGTCTAAATTTCTTGTATATCAATTTTGTATTGTTAGTATCAACATTGCCTATCTATATCGCATATCAAGTAATTTTGATTATATCTCTTTTATTCTATCATTCTTATTATTTTTGTACCGATTGCATTCATTAATTCTTATTTCTTTACCGATTTCATTTCATTTGACGAAAAATTATTGTTACTAAAATATAAACTACAGAATTTCGAGAATTTTGTTAGAAAGAATTATATTATGCATTTCTCACAAATGCTAATGCATTTCAGTAATATTTTTTTTTTTTCTGGAACAATGGAGATTTTATACCAAACCACACAAAGTACAAACAAAGATACAACCCAAAGCTAAATGTAACAGCTAGAAGCTAAAAAAAAAAAGGAAAGACAGATCAGAATATCGCCTAAAACTTAAGCTAGCAACACTAGAACACATCCACAAAACTACAAGCCACACAGCAAAAGCTTCAAAAATGGAGAATCAACGATCCCAAAAGGATAATACACGCTCCTACCGAGAGAAGATCCAAAACACTTTGCAACATCACACCAACATTAAAACACACTACAACAACACACAAACACCTAGACACACTTAAACAAACAAAAACCTAAACACCAACAAAGGCCTTCCCATAGTAGAGTAACCAAGCCCAGCACTCACGACCGACCACCCCCATGTCTATGTAATGACAGTAAAAAAATTAGAAAAAATAAATACTACTCATTTAGCAAGTCTACCCGTTACTTTTCCGTCACAACTTTAAATTTATCAACGCCCCAAATAAAAATTTCACATAATTTTTGTTTTCTGTATACAAATTCTTCAATGGTGTGACATATCACAAAAAAAAAAAAATGACTAAATTATGTTCATGTTTTCCAGTATTTAATTTATAAAATTAATTTTAATATTATCACGATATTTATTTTTAGAAAATTATTTTTAAGATTCTATTCCCGCATCATAAACATAATAAAATAATTTTAGTATTGCTATCCCGTGTATCAAATAGATGCGTAGTAGTTTCATGTCATGTGGCCCTTAGTTTCAACAATTGTCTATAATAAAGTAAAGCAGAATAAATGGTAGTGGTATGCTTGTGCAAAATGCACATATGAATGAGTTCATATGAAATGATAGATAATTAAGTATTGTAATAATTACCTAAAATACATTAACTGGATCAATATTGGGAAGGCAAAACTATGAAGAAGCCCATTGACTGGCGCATCATCTTCATTGCCACTTGAGAGTTAACTAGCAGAATGAATTAGGTACATTCATATATATATACTAGCATGCTCTCGCCGTGCACAGCGCGGCCGGCCCAATTTAGTTGCTCACATTTAATCTGTTATTATTATGAGTATGAGTATAAAATATTTTGATAAAATAGTCTGTTTATCAAAATACATCATACATGCACAATATTTTATTTTTTGGGTTCAGACTAAAGTTTGTCAAAACATGTTGAAGCAGCCATTACCAACTATAGAATACAAGAAGTGCTACAAAACACTCCATTTCTAAACATCAATGTTAGGTGAGGATAAATGTTTAAAATTATGTTTTTAAACTAACAAAATGTAAAAGGTTTAAAATCCAATTGTTTACATTCTTTAGCATGCATATGTGAACATATAAAGCACAACCAACATTGACCTTGATTAACATATTTCAAAACGCAAACAGCAGTAGTACTTATGATTCAATCAAACCAAATCAATGAATCAAATAAATTTAATACAATACATACAAATTTATCTTGCCTGAGGGCATATGGGTTGATATTGGCATTCGTCTGTAAACAACATTATCATGTTAAATTATGGAAGCTCAACACAGAGGATAATGTTCTCTGTTCTTGGCAATTCAATTTCAATTGGTTTTTTAAACATAGCTTTTCAACCGCCAATTCATCTTACTCAGAATCTCTAGAAAGCCTTAATAATATGCAGTCCATGCACGAAACAAATAAAATTAAAAATTAATATATGCATATATATATTAACAAATTTATAATTTATGATCCAGTTCAATGAATAAAATATGGGATGAAAAACTTGAATACAAAAACCACATATCATCCATATAAAGGAAGATGGGCTTATTGTAGACACCTATAAAAAGAGGAGCATGTCCAAGCTCGTAAAAATAAAACTACCTCAAAAACACGGTAATACAGAACTGCTCCAACCGATCTTGCATCTTTGCACTGAAAAATGATAAAACAAAAACAAAACTGTAAGTCCGTATGTTTTAAACAAGAAGAATAAGATTCATCTACTCTCAACAAAATATCGAGCTCGAAATTTCATGATAAAAACCAAGTCTTTTCTCTCAACCATTTCATTTACACAAACATTGCCAAACACAATTAACTGAAAAAAAAAATCATTAATATTTTAAACCTATTGATTTCTTGAAACATACTACTGAGAATGAAAATAAAAAATGAAACATTCCAAGTGAATCTATATAAAAATCAGGAAAAATTAAAGCAACAAAAATAAAAAAAATATACTTGGTGCATTGGATAAAAGCACTATTGTTCACTGGATTATCACACAGAAATATGAAATATAGAAATCCCAAACTGAACAACAAAATTATGTTGCAAATATGAAATGGCCAAATTACACTGCCCCGACGGGTTTGTCGAGCTCGGCCGCCAGCTGGTACCAGAAAACGCCAATGTGGACCCACCATCGCCAATGTGGACCCACACGCCATGCCCTTCAGGGATCATTCTAGGACCTTGGCTCGGTTGGTCTTTTCCCCTCCCCATTCTTGTTTGAAACTATTCCCCCACCTCAAGAACACCATGGAGAGTTTTGTATATAATACATTCATCTTCAGAGTTGGTCCCTGAACTTTGCGAGTTACATCAAATCCAAATGATAGAAAAAAACAAAAAGATTAACACCAATGAATGCTATAATATTAAAAAAAAAAATATTGGGAAACAAAAAAGAAGATTTTTTCCTGAAATTTGTAGACTTCCTACTTATTCCAGTTTCTTTTCCCCTGATATTATTTTAAGAAGAACAAAAAGAAGATTAGTGTCCAGACCTTTTATTCACATGTATAAATAAAACAACCATAAAACCCCAACATTTTCAGTACACCATCAAAACACCTATGTACACACCCAACTCTCCAAACTCCCACACCAAATGCTAAAACTGTAAAAACCATAAACCCCCTCCCCCAACCCAAACCCCTTAACCTACACAAAACACACACACACACACACACACACTAAAAATCAACAAAACCGTCGAGCTCCCATTCCTCAACCTGCCTCTTTCTCGCCAAAAAAAAGTACCCCTCATCTGGCGTGAAAAATCGGAACTTTTTCTAGGTTCTCCATTCCGCTAGTACCATTTCTCTGGAAGAGAGTCAAGGTGTTGAAGTAGGCTACACTACAATTACTCGTCATTCTCACGATGCGTACCACACTACTACGTCTTCAACCTCGATTTGCATCTGTCTTGCCTACTGCCAGCCCTGAGCAAGGCCCTTATTAAACTCTAAAGAGACGCAAACAAGAATTACAGAATAAATAAACCTGTGATATGAACCTTAAAGTAAGCGAGATATACCTCACAACATCTGTATCTCAAAGAAAAAATCTGTCAAAAAGGGACACAAAAAACCCTAACTCATCAACTTAAATAATTTCATAAAATTGTAGAATTATTAAAATGAAATGAAGCGGAACTCACCTCAAAAATACGATCATGACTCTGGCGAAGAGGATTAGGACTTTGTTGAAGAGGATCGGGATTCCGACGATTATGAGGTTCCCTTCTGTACAAAACTCACTCGGCCGCTAGTTCTTTAAATTTATCAGAAATTTTCTCAGAAATGGATTCCGATTATCAAATCAAGGAAATGGGATCTCCTCTAGTTCATATCCTCCAAGTCGTCGGGGTTCAATTTGTCGGGCTTCTTCGAGAATCGAAAGAAATTGCGCTCTTGTTTTTCTTTTTTAACTTCTTCTCGGCTTACATGATAATTGTGAAATCAGAGCCAAATGAAAAAACAACAACTCTTTTGCTAATTGTTTTTCAATAAAAAGTAGCCACAGCGAAGTGAGATCCAAAAGAGAGATAAATCGGCCAAAGCGAGTATCATCCGGCCAAGAAGAGAATCGGAGTACCATTTTCTGTAACCCATAAGTGAAACGACGTTGTTTGATTAAGGGGTGACGTGGCTGCATAAAATTACAGTGCCACGTGTCAGATAAAGAAGGCACAAGCTTCTTTTTATAGATAAGAGAAATAGATATGGTCCCCAATCCTAATCAATTGTCCAATGATGTCAGTAAAATTTAATTAATATATAAATAAATGAAAAACTCGTCACATTCTGCCACTCAAGAGTCTCAATAGCACTAATCATATATATAATTATATATATATATATATATATATATATATATATATATATATANGAATGAATAATGTACAGATAAATTTGGATTAATTTGGTCATTTAGACCTCAGAAAAATCAAAAGTTGAGATCATTGACTGAATAGCCACAAATGGAGGAAATTTGGATTAAGCACTATTGCAGTAATCACAAGATATTGCTTGTGGGCGAAGGAGATTTCTCTTTTGCCGCATCATTAGCCTCTGTATTCGGCAATGCTTCTAATATGACTGCAACATCTCTCGACTCTGAGGGTATGCACGTAAATGTAGCAATTAGCTGGCATTTAAACTATATTTATATGAAGCTGATAATTAGATTGATATATAATTTTCCTTATTTTTTCACATGATATTTAATTGTCACAAAATTCAGAGGTGTTGGGGAGAAAGCATCGTACTGCAGCAGCAAACCTGGATTTCCTTAAAAGCAGGGGTTGTACCGTAATGCATGAAGTGAATGCTTGTACCATGAGCCGACACCCTCAACTCAGGAACGTGGAATTCGATAGAATCGTGTTCAATTTTCCCCATGCTGGCTTCACTGAGTCTGAATACACCTCTTATCAAATATCGTAAGTTTTTTAATCATGTATATATGAAATTAGTTCGTTGTGGTTTTGAAATTTATGTTCTTGTAAGAGAAATGAAAAAAAAAAAAAAAAAACAATAATAGTATATGCTTTGAAATCACTACAATATAATGAGCTTATATGATGAAGGCTGCACAAGAAGTTGGTTCGGGGTTTTTTTAAGAGCGCGTACAAATTGGTGAGTGCGGAAGGTGAGGTTCACGTGACGCACAAAACCACTTACCCATTTTCAGAGTGGGAGATAGAAAAATTAGCAGAAACAGCAGCATTTGAATTAGTGGAAGAGGTGGAGTTTTACATCTCCGAATACCCTGGCTACAAGAACAAGAGAGGAGATGGAAACAAGAGCAACTCTACATTTCCTATAGGAGAATGTTCGACTTTCAAGTTCGCCAAGTACTATTGAGTTAAAACATTAATGTTCAGTATTTTACATACCTTATTTAAAATCTCTTGAATTATTATATTAACAAAACCTGTCATTGCGAAATCTGTCCTGTTATTATTATGTATGCGAAATTTATCCGTTGCTATCCTAATTATTTGCTAGATGAGTTGAACCCATATATTTATTAAAATTAGTTTCGCAAGAAAAGTCAAAGGACAATTATTCTATTTTCATCAATTTTTTCAATTGTATTATTATTTTATTCCTAAAATACCGATTTGCATTAATTCATCCTTCATTGGTTTGTTTTGCAATAAAATCGGACAGATAGACTTCAAGTAAAAACATGTCTCATTTCAAATTTAAATTTAAATATTAAGATTTCTTATCATTTTGTTACATTAAAATTCTGAATGAATTGTTTGCAATGAAATCGGACAACATAATAATTGCATATAATTCAAGTAAAAACATGTCTCATTTAAAATTCCTTATCATTTTGTTACATTTTTCAATGATTTGTTTCCCATAACATCGGACTGAATTAATAATTGCATAGAACTCAATTATGATTTCGAATTTATATCAAGGATGTTTAATAATTGAATAGAATTTCAAAGATGTTTATTTATTATAAATAAAATTAAATTCTACAAAAACATTTGTGTATATTTTGTAAAATGTTTGTACGAAATGTTTTACTTTAAATTTATTTATATAATTTAAATTAATTACATTAATAAATAATATGAACATACATTAAATATTTTAATTACATAAAACAAAAAGAAGAAGAAGACTACATCTATAACTTGTATAAATAATAATAATGACATTATATTACAATAAATTTTATAATATATAATATGAGTATTATACGAGGAACAAGATTATGTAAAATTGTTATTTTTCTTATATCAAAGAATAAATATATATGAAATCAAATTTATATTATTATAAACATGTGGGAGAGATAATATATTAATTAATTTACGGGTTAGCGCTAGCAGACTCAGGTTTAATGTTTCGACAAAAAAAATGACATTGATGAAAAGATGTAAAAGATAGATGATCAAACTCTATTATTTTTTAGGCCCGAACGGACAAGCCCTATGGTCCACTCATTTAATATCTCTCGTGAATCGCACGAGCTACTTAACGGACAAACTCTGTGGAAATTACTCATTTAATACTTCTGTCATGTGCATCGTACGAGCTACGTACTAGTATATAATTACTAGCTGTTAGCATTTAATAAAATCTATTTAAATTTACTTATGTGGCAATATAACAATTTCCCTCTAAAAGCCGTTACTTTTGGTTTATTTAACCTTTCATTTATTTATTAGATAATCAAACACTTAATAATTTTAAAATTGTAAAATTATTTTAAACTTTTGACTACAGATAACTGACCATATAATGTGTTGACCGTATAATGTGATTAGATGTTATTATTGTGATTACATTAAATTTTTTTTTTTTTTGAAAAATAAAAAATATATTTAAAATTTCTAAATAAATAATAAAAAATACATACCAAAATATATGTTTCATCTAATCTGATAAACACAATTTTAAAAAATAAATATTCCAGTTCTTTTAATTGTAAATTTGGTCTACAAAAAAAGTGAAAAAAAATTATTAATCATTATATGAGTACAAATAACTCGCAATACTGTATTTACATCTGTGCAAATGCACATGGTCGAATACTAGTTCTTATATATAACCAACAACTTTTTCTTTAATTAGTAAAGTGTATTTATTTGGTCAATTAATTTTTTAGTGTGAAAAATGGGCAAGTTTAGTAAATATGCCATTGCAAGAATGAAATAAGAAAAAAAAAAAAAAGTTGAG